TGAATTTGGTGTCGGCACAATTCAGTTCATAACACATAGATAATCTTTAGCAGTAGTATGTTTGCTAATCATTTGGAGAGCAGTCAATACATCTATGTTCTACTTTTCAGGGTGAATCTTCTAATGGCTCAAATGATAGAGGAATGAAATCACTAGTAAATAAAATGACTGTGGCTTTGAAGACAAAATCCGTTAATGTCAGGGAAAAAGTCATCAGTTTTATTGAGAATACATCAACTCCTGTCGACCGGTGAGTTGTTTATACCGTATGAGTTTAGGATGAGTAATTAAAACTAATGACACATGTCTTACATTAAGTTAATGTTAGCTGGGTTCAATGTGTTCCAGAAAAGGATCATAAAGTATATTTTCTATTAGATGATTTCATAATTTTTATTATAACTGCAGGGATTGTACTTTATTGCTATAAAATGTGGCTGTATACTTTCCTCTCCTGTCCCACTCCTCTGAATAAGATGCAAATAATGGATCTACCCCTTCATATCATTCATTACAAAAATTTGTGTCCCCTGTGTGTATTATGTTTCATATAGTAACTGCTTCCCAAATGTCAAATGGGTGGAGAGTGATCCACTAAATTCAGTGATCTCATAGCAGGATCTTTTCCCTCTGCATCAGGAATTTAAAACCTAGAAAATTTGGTCACAGAAACCTACTTTCTGACATTTAAGAGTTCTGGTATTCATAGAATTTTGTTTACAGAATATTGTTTACAAAATCCATTTTTCTGTGAATTACAAATGAGGGGCATGGCTAAAAATTGATAAGCAAGTTTAAGAATGTCTGTTATATTGTTTCATATTATACCTATGAATGTATAATATATTTTTCCCATATTATCCTTAATCTTTCTTGTTCTTGGAGTTCAACCTTATATTTTCAACAGATAATTTATTTCTAAGCAAGCTTTATCTTGGAAATGTGTTACAGTATTTGATTTCACTTACTTGCAGTCTCCTGGGAAAGTTGAAATATTTGACTTTGAATATTTGAATGTCAGGAATTTGTTGTTGTTACTTTATTAAGTATGGTACATAGGCATACAAACATACATTTTTCCCTTTTCGTAAACAGCAAAGAAGATAATAGGTTATTTTCATTAATCCAAAAAATTGTACTTTATCTAAAATGGTCGGCTAATAATTATTAAGGAATTTTATCAAGCCTGAAAGATTTGTTTGCTCAGTAAAATAATACCTGCTCTCAAAAGATAACCTGTTTACTTTTAGTTAATGCTTCTGAATTGGAGAACTATTATCTCTACATTTTGTAGCATGAACATTTAAAATTTTATTTTAAAATGCATTCATTTTTTTTTCAAATGGACTGGTGATAACTGTAAGTCAAAAAAACTGTCTTTGTTAAAGTATCACTTGAAACTGGCTTTTCTTCATTTTTCTTTGTACTTGGAATGATTGAAACATTTTCTTGATAATGTACGTTACTCTGAGTTAGAAAAACTGATTATACTGTACTATATTTTTGTTTTAAAGCCATTGCATTTTTTATAATCATTTTGTTCTGTCCTCTGCCTTGATTTGCTATAGAATGTCTTTCAATCTTCCTTGGCCAGACAGATCATGTACAGAGCGGTAAGCCAAAGCCAATGAATAGAGCAGCTTTATTGAACCATCCTTTTCCTTTCCTTTAGCATGCCTCATGCATCTCATGCTGTCTTGGCTAAAATTTCATGCAGCTGTTTTAGATGCTAAACTTTTCTCATTCTGCTTTTAGGAGTGTATCGTGTTGATTGATAGGTTCTTTTCGATTTTTTTGTTTGATCATTTTAATTTTTTTCCTTGCATGCTTCTTTATATCTCCCATTCCTCGATGAAAATCAAGTTCATTCAAACCTAAGAAGTTCATAAAACCTGAAGGTTTTATTTTCTGTTACAGGGGAAGATGAAACAAAGAAAGTGTGAATATAGTCAAGAGTTGGCAGGTTATTGGCTTTGGAGATCATTTGGTTTTATCTCCTGCCCACCAGTGAGAAAAATTACAGCACCAAAAAATAGGCATAGTTCATGGTTCAAAATTTGTTAATTCATGTATATTATATAATTTTATATTTTTAGATTTTCTTAATAAGATAAATATATTTAGGTTGGCAAGTTAACATTTATAAATCTGTTCCCAAAAAACAGTTCTAGGGTTTTACTTTTGGTTTTCCTTGAGCAAAGTTAGGTTGTGGTGGATATTTTAATGTATAACCCATCACTTGTCAGCCCCAAATAAGATGAAGTGTTTGTCATTTAAAAACATAAAGAATCCTTAAGTTTAAGGTTTAAAAATCTATGGATCTTCAGTTAGGATTGAACAAAAGAACTTCACTAACTTAATTCAAAATGGCTTTGCATTTTTATACTCACAGAAATTTTCTGCAATTTAATTTAGAATATTAATTATAGCAATACCTGTGAACATTGAGAAAGAAATTCTGGTCATATTTTGAATGTAAGTTAAGCTTTGGAATAATGTAGTTGACTTTTTCTCAGGCCATTTTAATTTTTTCAGTAACTAGAAGTAGCATTTTTTAAAATAGTAGTTTACTTTCTAATGACTTACCTGATAAGTCTGTATTTATTGTGACTTGTTCCTATACAATACCAATTATAGGCCTTCAATTATAATTTTATCAAAAACTATTTTAAAGGAAATTGCTTTTTTAAAACTTATAATCTATTTGTGAATCATCTGTTTTTTCCTGTTATTGGACCATTGAATTAGTCTAATTTTATTTAACTCCCAAGTTTTCTCTCAAAGTTTTAATTTCATTTTTTTTAACTTTTCTCTGGTCCACTGGCAGATATATTTATTCTGACAGAGTTAGAATGAATTGGGGTTTTTTCTGAGCTCAGAAAATCAAGTTAAAACCTGGTCAAACTATTTTGTTGATGTTTCTGTTATTTGGCAAAAAAGTATAGATACACTGTTCTTTAAAAATAGTCCAGCTATTCAGTTTCATTAATTTTTAACCAGTCTTTCAAGAACTATCTCAGTAATCTTTCGCATTCAGGTTCATAAAAATTTTGCATTGTATTATAAATCTAGGTCAATAACGAATAACTTGTTTTTAGGATTGTTTACTAATACTTGCTTTCTGGTTCAAGCATTTGCTATAAATGTTATATTTTTTATTTTCTGTGTTATAGCAGTTCAATTATGCTTTAATATCAGGAAAGAACCTATAATTTTTATTTATTTATTTATTTTTTTGAGACAGAGTCTCACTTTGTTGCCGAGGCTAGAGTGAGTGCCTAGCTCACAGCAACCTCAAACTCCTGGGCTCAAGCGATCCTCCTGCCTCAGCCTCCCAAGTAGCTGGGAATACAGGCATGCGCCACCATGCCTGGCTAATTTTTTCCCTATATATTAGTTAGCCAATTAATTTCTTTCTATTTATAGTAGAGACGGGGTCTCGCCCTTGCTCAGGCTGGTTTCGAACTCCTGCCCTCGAGCACTATTTAAGACAAAGGTTATATAATATATAAATAAAATTCACATAGAAATCATTAAATATTATATTTTCTATGGAAATGGAATATACTACCTTCAGACTTTTAACAGTATTATCTATATTCATAAACTATTCTTATTCATATACCACAGCAATATTTAATATCATGTGAGGGTCGAGACATTGCATACTGCAAGGCCCACACCCCAGTGAAGCCGGAACCAACATCCGGCTTCTGAAAACTGTTGCTTGCTTGCCATGGAAACCGTTGCTTGCTTGCTTGTTTGCGCCAACTTTGCATTGTTTAACCCCTGTATAGTGGGCTACCAGCCAACCAACATATTAAAGGTCAATGCATCCACGCGTGATCAGCACTACATAGCGCATGCACCATAGGGATAAAAGGCACGCTGCAACCCCAGTCAGGGTCCTTGCCTGCAAGAGTGGCCACTGCGTTGGTGCTCTAGGGCTTGGACCCTGGCTAGCCAGAAATAAACCTCCTCTTGTGTAATTACATCCTCGATGTCTCTGCTTTTCTGTCCGGTGGGGCTGTAAAAGATCGTCCCTAACAATCAAAGATCACTAGGCAATAACTGGCTCCTTACATATTTTATAATATTCTGCAATTGATTCTTAAGGCAAAATGAGCACAGAATTAACACCCCTTTTGTACCTCAGCTCACTTTACAGTGATAATATTCTTACATTTTTTAGGTATAGTACTACAGTTAAGACGAATATCAACAAGTCGAGCAGGTGGAACATTCTGCAGGACAATTGGCCTGTATCAAACTTTGATTCATTCATATGAAGAAAAAAAACGAAGCAAGGGGGAAGAGGAGAGTACGGTTTACATTGGTTTAAGACTAAGAGATATAACGACAAATGTAACATGTGAACCATGACTAGATCCTGGATCAGGAAGCAAAAAAGAATTTATACAAGATACTTTGGGACACTGAAAATTCTGAGTAGGGTCTATATGTTGAATGATATTAATGTTTAAATTTTTTTAGGTGGGTAATGGCACTGGAGATATGTATGAGAATGCTCATCACTTGGGAGATTTACGATGACACATTTAGGGGTGAAGTGTCACATCATATAAGCTTTTGAATGTTCACGAAAGGGAAGTGTATGTAGACGTGTATGTACATAATACACAGATGGGGTGGTATAAAAATTGTTAACTGGTGAATCTAGGAAAAAGATCATAAGGGTGTTCAATGTACTATTTCTTTAACATCTCTAATTAAAATTTTCAGAATAAAAATTACATAAGACATATTTAAAATCAAAACATAATATAGTCAACAGGAGAAATTTATCTTATTGTACTTGTAAATAAAAGTTATTAATTCCCCAAATTCAATTTTATTTCTAAAGAAGACATTTTAAAAAGTACCTAGGAAACATGTGTCCTCTCTTTCACTTCTTTACAAGAAAAATGATGCTGATGTCTGGTTTTGTTTATCAAGTCTGAATGTTACAACCTCTTTCTATCATCATCTGACTTGAAGAACTGTCAATTTCATCTATAAAAATTTAAGTGGTTAATATGAATATTACTAACTTTATAAATGATGCATTTTTTAAAAGCCTAAAAATTACAGTAGTATTTTGAAATCTATAAAGAATTAAATGTTAAATGTGGTTGTTACTAACTTTTAAAATGATATATTTCTTAAGAGCCTAAAAAATTTTCAGCAGTATTTTGACATATGTATTGAAAAAACATCTAATTCGCCATCTAATCCTTATGCCACTGATACTAATATAGGATATTATTATGAAAAATCACTTTATGTGGTAAAAGCCAGGTGAAAATATAAAATACACTTTTATAGATTAAACTATTTGGGAAATTTCAACTCTTTTGATACAGGTAACATAACCATTTCTGCCTAGTCTGTAAGAGATGGCTGGTTATCCAGTATAAGCACCTATCTTAAGGTAAGGATGGTGGAGTTCTTCTTATTTCACTGGTTTCTGATTTAAGGAAAATAATAAAGTCATCCTGGATATAAGTAAAATCTAGTTTAATAAATATAAATAAAATATTTTAATTTTGTTTTCTAATTTAGAAGAGGAATTATAGTCTCTAGGGTAATTATAAATGTTCTTTCCCTTTGTTTCTAAATAAAATACTTCAAATATAAAGAGCCATAATTAAAAAGGAAACCCATTTATCTACATTCCAGTTTAAATAATGTGAAGCCCTGTCTGGGCACGATGGTTCACCCTGGAATCCTAGCCTCTGGGAGGCCCAGGCTGGGAAGGAGGATCTCCTGGGTGAGTTCGAGACCAGCCTGAGCAAGAACAAGACCCATCTCTACAAAAAAGGAAAAGAAAAAATTAGCAGGGCATGGTGGAATGTGCCTATAGTCTCAGCTACTCAGGAGGCTGAGCAGGAGAATCACTTCAGCCTAGAGTTTGAGGTGGCAGTGAATTATCGGGATGCCACTGCACTCTAGCCAGGGCAACAAGTGAAACTGTCTAAAAAAAAAAAAAAAGTGAAGCCTCATGTGTCTCTCCCTATTCATATTCCCTCCCTTTCCCACCAAGAACTGACTATCTGAATTTGGCTTTATCAGTTTCATACATGTCTTTAACCTTATACAAATATTCCTAAATAATTCAGATGGTTT